CGTGAATCAAACGTTAACATATAAGTTCGACATTCGAATTGTTCGATATGTTATTTAGATTTTAAGAGACTCTTTGATTTTAGTCGTTCATAACCTAAAAGCCTTCTCGACGTCCACATGAAGGAAGATTCGATTCCCGAAAGAATTCATCGATTACCAAAAAAGAGAACGCAATTGATCTGGGACACCATGTATGCGACGGACGCACCCGCGTTATATTGCCTATGATACCGTCAGTCACGTATAAACGGCATTACTGATTGACACAATGCGAACGCCTTTAATGCATATCAACGTCAGCGGTGCGTATTGTTCCATCGCGGCGTTATTGGCAATTTCTATTTCATCGTGCAACGCATGTATCGCGAGCGGCGATCGGCGAAGGGGATCGTGCACGCAAGTGCGAGAGCGTAATGATTCTCGCCTCGTTCTCGGTCTCATCTCGAGGATTTCAAAGGCGGGTGACTCGCCTCTCCCTTTTTCCCCGCCTTGCCTCCTCCCCTTTTCTCCTGGCGGTGAATCGTGTTGGAATCGCGTTTTATCGCATTCGCGGTTATCGTGGCATTCAAATTGATTTATCATACCGATGTACGCGTATTTCGCGTCGATTTTCAGCATGGAAGCGCATCGTAGTCGCAAACTGACGCGTCGTACGCACAGTTATTGTGTTGGTTCTCTCTCTCTTTCTCTCTGCCTCTCTTTGTCGCGATAAAATGTACGCAATTCCGCTACGTAATAGGGAAAAATAGCTGCTAAATGATAATAGGTACACGCTGGGATAAAAAATTATTGCAATTATTATAATTTATAGTCATTTTGATGACAGCTATACATTTTTTTTTGGTAAAACTGTAAATATAATTATTATTAATTATTTATTAATTATAACTATATATTATTAAATTCATAATGTCAAATTACTTATACTCCATTTGAATTGTTTTTAATCATTTCTATAAATTGCCGCTGCTCCTACCCAATATATAGTTAATTTGATTAAAACAATAAAGTTAATTAATTTAACTCAAGAAGTGTCTTGAATTTGAATTAAATTTAGTTCATTATTTACTAAGTGCATACGTAATATAAACGATGTTTACTTTAAAACTAACCACAGAAGTGGTTTAATTTACATTTTAATAGACATGGAAGTTAGAAACAATTAAGTTATTTAATTCACACCTTTTTACTCAAGGGATTTGAGTTATCATTGCTCCCTTGATATATCTAACATAGTATAAACGTAGTCATTATTACTAACCTTACAGTAACAACAGTGCAGTAATAATTATAAAAATAGAACTCCTAATAACCATTTCTATTTTTATACGACACAATTATAATCGCAAATACCAAACACTTATCAAAAAAGGAAAATGTACATACGACACTCTAAGCGTTCTCTTCTTCGACCAGAAGCAAATATTGGCGGTGAAATGGAATTATGTTTGAAAAGGCAATTAAATGAAATTGCGTTGTGTGAATTGAATGGCTCCGAGAGGGAATGCGATCGCAATTAATAGCGAGGATACTCTGTTAGCGTGCTCGGGAATCCAGACACGCTCGACACGTTGCGCATCGTCGTGTCGTCAATTTACAGTCGCGTATCTCGAACAATGGTATGAAAACCGCGTCGCATTCCAGAACGCGCTGGGACGGTGCATCGCAAATGGTTAACACTCTTCGCCATTCAGAAACCTCTCTTTCCGTCCCAATCATATTTCCTTGAGAAAAGTTCTTCTTTCGGGACGTATTGTCGAAAGAAAGTGCGGCACCTCAAGCGAATTTAATATATATCCTTTATAACGATATAATTTACAATACACGTAATAATATTGTTTTAAAGAATACGAACATGAATAATTAAAAATATATTAAAATGTACTAATGTATTTAATAAAAACAAAGATTAGATACATTTACAGTGCGTTGTCCGGAAGGTTCGTGCGGATTTAAAAAAATTTTTTAACTAAGAATAATTTTATTCTACAAATTATACCACTTTGTATCGCAATATTTTTCATGTTTCATATTACTTCATAATTTCTCTCTCCCTCTCTCTCTCTCTCGTAGAAGTCCTTTTGAACATCATCTACTGATAAAATCGCACGGATCATCCAATATAAAATAGGACTGCAGTTAACGTAACATATCGTACATAAATATATATGCTCATGTTTCACATATATTGCGAATAATAATCTCCAATTATTATTTATAGCTCGTGTTGAAGAAAATTTACTATACTTTAAAAGATCACTCTTTACGCTCGGTCATTACGGTTAAAAACCCTAATTTCGATGCGCTGTGAATTCTCTCATTTCTCCAGCATTCGTCTAGCTAGGTTCGGGCAATCCGCAGAATTAATCGAATCGACTTTCAGCGAACACGATATTGAGAGAATTAAAAGAAAAGAGCATCTCGACGGCCAAAGTCCGCTCGCGCGAGAGAGGATAATTGGAAAGGGCGCGAGTACAATTTGCGGCGAGTAGAGAATCTATCTAATTCCTCCGGTTTTCTAATCCCCGTACGTTTACTCAGAATTTATATCCCCGCGGTGGTACAGGCGAGTCACATTAAAAGCATCGACCGGATATGAATATGTGGAAATAACGCGCATTCCGCGAGCGCTTATTAGATTATCGTCGACTGTTGTCGTCAACGATATAGTTGCGTCCTCGGTCGCGTCGTTATCTTTATCTCTCCACTCCTCCCCTTGTATTCTCCGTTTCCTTCTCTTCTTCAATGCACCTGTCCGCTGCATCGCCATTCATGCGTACGCACATGTGTGCCAGTGACGACGAAACAAAGCTCACACGATATCCGCGTGGCGAGGAATTTATTCGGATTCTTAAACTTCGAAAAAATATTTATTAAAAATATGAGGATTTATATGCTGTTGTACGAATCCCGTTGATGCGTTCACTTTAAAATACTAATGAGAATTTGTGATAGAACATGTAATAAAATGAGCTAATATATCGTGTTTTGCATTCAACACTTTATTTTGAGTATTTTCTCTATATGTCTGCACATTTTTCTATTTTAGTCATAAAATTAATATTTTATATTGTATATTCAAAATAGTATTTTGGTACTAAACTGTGTACGCGTGTGGAGGGGGATATTATTATTTTTAAAATGACAACAATGATAGGATAATTAATACTGTATTTATTTAGTGTATTATTTTATACAATTAAAAGGAACTCGCACTAGTTATATCAAAATTAGGTTCTGGTAAAATGAGTTAGTATTCATATGTAATTAATTTATAATATGTGTGTGTGTTAACTACTTATTATTGAGCCTTGTGTCGATGACATCTTTTGTTCACCATATTATAAGCTAGATTATATACGTGCAAACGCATTTCACCGGAACCCAATTTATGATATAATTAGTAGAACCTTCACTCTCTAATTATACACATATAAAATTGAGTCCCGGTGAAATGAGTTGGTTTTCATGTAGTTTATAATGTGGTGAACAAATGATGTCATATAGCGAATTCAATTGGATGCACTCAGTGTGCATTGATGCATATTAAAGTCGTATACAGATTGACGTAAAAATGTGTGTTTAATATAAATACAGAACCACGTTAAACCACGATCTTTATTGCACTTTATTGTTGTATACACTTATTAGTGTATATATAGGTAAAATATATATTTTACAATTCGAAATATTTGTATTTCAATTTTACACTCAGATTAAATCAATGTATCTATATAACGGCTTTAATATCCACCGGTGCGAACTAATTCGCTAATAGGTTCAATAATGAATAGTTTTTGGACTATGGTGTATCAAAAGTGTAAAATTTGCTCGCAGAACATCTTTGATATATTATACTTAAAAAACTTTATCATTGAGTTTTTTGTCGATAAATGATAATACAATAAATACAGAAATCCTCTTTGGATTCAGATTAAGTTAACAAAGACGAATCATTACGAACGAACGTGAATGAGTGTAACTAGAGCTCTATATTTATAAGAATAGCCTAACGGATTGCTATGTTTGCGTAATAATTATATCATATTAAAGAATTGCTAAGCGTTTATTGAACGATAGACAAATTAGATCAAATGTGACACTTGAAATAGTCAATACGACAATGCAATAGGAAAGCAGTCATTGGAAAGACGTGTTGTCGATTTACTCGCAGATGAAAGCAACTCTTTGACCGGCTATACACGTTCAAGTAAACTCGTTAAGTATGCATACGCAAACCGCGTACATGCAAGTTTATTATAGAACATGTGTATAACAAAACTGCACAGTTATTACAACAAACTTGTATTGTGTATATGCTTGCGCATGTCATACTTATTTGATAAGTTTACTTGCACGTGTATAGCTGGCCTAAGGGTGCGTTCCATTTCATTACTTTACAAGCATTATTGGTCTTTGTTTAATATTTGATAGACGACAAGGATGAATTGATGCCTATAGCGTGTGAACGTGGAAACGGAACGTTTCCTTTTAAAATTTTGAAGAATGTATAAGCTCTATAGGCGTAACGAATTATTCCTTTGTTTTCCCGAAAGGAGAATAAATATCGAAAGGAGTTGAAATATATTCAATAGTTTATTCGTTTACGTTCTTTGCTCGATTCGAATCCGCTTTTCCACATACTTGGCTTTACCATGGAATTAAACAAGGTGTTGTGTTTCCGAAGATATGTGTGCGCAGTAACAAAATAATGGCGTCCATGCATTTTGCCCCTAAATGCAACTGACATGAATGTGGCTACAGTGAGAGAGAAATATTTTTTAGTTTCGAAGAAATTTTTACTGATTCAAAGAAATAATTTTTTTGAAATTAAGACATTTTTTCTCTCAGTGTAGGATTTAGGAGCAATTTTTGATTGGTGCCGCCATTATGTGCAATTCAACACCGTGTCTAATTCCATCATGACTTTATCGGTCAAATTCGAAAGTTGAAATTTTTGCAATATATAAACACAAGTCGAATTTGCGATTGTTTTTCAGGATGCGCGTGCACGGGAGCGAGTCCGCGAGGCGGTACGCGCGAGTAACGCGCCGGTGAACGCGCGAAGAAATGAAATGTGCGAAGAGGAGAGCCATTAGGAATCCGCCATTCTCGGCGAATGTCATTCACCCTGTGTGTGCATCGTAAAAAGAAAAAGAAGAAGAAGAAGCAGCAGCACCACCACCGCCGCGGAAGAAAGTCAAACGAAGTGAGTAAATTTGCCCCGCACTCGAGATTCGATACTTGTAATTCGTCGTTGCTCAAATCTCTTTCGTCGGGAGATCTGCCATCAGTTAACGTGCGTGTTTCGTCGTCTGATCCCTCACCCCGTTCAATTCGTCGGCATCAGAAGAGTGAAAGGCAGCACTTCGCTCCACGCGGCACGTCGCTCTCGAGACGCATCCCGGCGGACTCGCGCGTTATTTTCGCGAGGTCACGCCAAGCCACGCGCTCCGGAGTCTTTCTCGTCCATTAACGCCTCGATGTATAGTGCGCTTTGTATACATGTATTCTACAAGGCATAGTTTTGTCGCCTAATGTCTTTCACGTGAATTTAAGTGCAAATTTAAGTCATATCGGTATACTCTCATTTTCTGGTCAAATAATCCCTCGACCGACCGTTTCTTACTCGCCGTAATACAATTCTATTGATAGAAACGAGAAATTCTGTCTGAATGATCGTAGTGAAAGAACATACTTGTCGATGCTCGCGAGAGACGCCCTCGCCGTCTTTGTCGAGGAAAGGATTGATGGAATGTTCAATTGAGGAAGAGTCGATGAATGTCTATGGGGATCGACGACTGCTGGCCGATCGTTAAACACGGCTTAACAGCGAAGAAATATGCGGCCCACGCGAACGAGCTTGAATGTCGAGCGATTTAATTCCATCAGATTCAGAGATTCAGTGGATCCATTGAGCGATCTATGAGCGGCGATAAAGCTTCTTCCGTAACATAATGCGCACATTATTTGACTTTGCCTATTAAGATAGAAGAGGTCCCAGACTGATGAAATTATCCAGTGATTAGTAAAACCGAAGCACTTTACCGTTTACTTAGCGATTAGTTTTCTTCGATCGACAATTTCTCTGTATACCGGGATTGTTCGTCCTAATTAACCTAATTCCGAGTGAGGACAATTTCGAGATTACTCGCTGTCACACTCGCGCAAATTTATCTAAAAGCAAGTGCTGTTTTTCCTTCAAGGAACTACTATCGAAGTAAGGAGCTACTGATCGCAAGAACGCGTCTTCATTCGAGGCATTCTCTCCTGGGAGTCGAATCAATTTCAAATGAGTCCAGCCCGTCGATTGATCGAACGGAGAACCGGCTGAAGCAGCATTGAGATTCGTAGGTCGCGGTGCTTCCGTATTGAGGTACATCGAGAAGATACTCGCGGATCTCCGTTTGATCCTCTTTGAAAGGGGACCGAGTATAGACTCCGATAGTGTCCGCAGGGACGCAGATGGGAGCTTGTCTGATAGAAGTCCCATCAACCCCGTGCGACAACAATCTAACGTGTTCCCAGCGATCGACTCCACGGCTGCCGTCGCCCACCGACGTCGCCATCGACTACAAGGCCTCTTCTTCTCCCACCCGATTCGGCTACAAAAATCTGATCAAGCTGGAATTGATGGAGTTGGAGAACATTGTTGCGAACACCGTGTACCTGAAAGCGAGAGAAGGTGAGTCTCGTTTTGCTTGTGTTATCATTTATGTTGTGTTGCCATTTGATTTCATATTTTATGATGTTCATATTTTAGGCAGTTTTATTATTTTATGTTTTATTGTATAAATATATTATATATTTATCCGTGGGAATTATCGATTTCATGTACAACATGCGGAGCAATTAAAGACTAGTGTGTAGAATAATTATGCTCAGAATAATTAAACGAGTGAGTAATTATAAGTTAAATTCATTATAAAATAAAAATCCGTTTTTGTATCGAAGCATATTAGTTACAATAATATATTACGAATAATTTTTTATGATGTCATAAATAATGTTCTATATTTCGTTGTTTCCATTGTTTTACCAGCGGCGAGGCAATTAGGAAATTGAGAAAATTCACGCGATAATGACAAAAATTATTATTTCATGACGTGTAATAATTACGGCTTCGGGTATAACACGTGTCAAGAACAGTTATTGAGTTCGGTCGATTAGCGCGCACGCTGAATGTACAATTCTGGCATTGTGTATCTACATATAATGGCCTTCCCGGAACACCCAATGGCCTATACAGAGCTTTTATTACGGAGAGTTTGGCTGGGCGACATTTATTACGCGCGTAAAGTCGCTCCGTAGTTTTAGCCGCGAGATTGAACGTTCGGATTTAACGCGCAATATGCAATCGTTACTTTCGCGTTTAACGCGTTTCGAATTGCCGTCATGGAGAAAATTAAGGCCATTAGGCGTATTTTTTTTTTGCAACACGTCCAATTCGGGATAAATATTTCCGCAATCCCGTAATTACGTCCTAGGATTCAGTTGTCATTTACGGTTGAAAAATAAAAAATTTTCCTCTCTTCAGAATTTTTCTTGTTTACGAGAATTACGTCAATTAAACAGCTTTAGATCACGAAAGATAATAAAACGACGTCAGATTTGCGCATTTAATACTTTTATGCGTTGCACGCAATTTAAATTGTGTTTATCACACACACAATAAGAAAATTTTATCGTTTATTTATAAACTAACTAAAAGACAGTAATATAAGTAATCTAATCAAGAGGTCAATCAAATTGAAAAACGAACACGAGTTAGATGTTACATTAATAAATACGATTTATTATCTTATTTAACTAAATTAACGTATTTAGTAAACGAAACATTTCAAACTTTGCTTAGCCCTCTTCAATTTCAATATTTAAATACATATGAAAAAAATTATATAAATAAAAAAATTTTTTTATATAAATAAAAAAATAATTTTATATAAATAAAAAAATTAAACATGATAAATAATTCTAATTTTTTACGATTAAACTCAAGCAATGATTTTAGTATAGGTGTTATTAAATTTATAATATTACATCAATTAAAGATAACGTGATTTAGATAATGTGTTTTTTGAAAATTATCGAGCGTTTATTAGTTAAAATTGTTATGATGAATAATAATAAATACATAAAATTAGTGTCAAGGAAAGTATTGCGATCTCAATGATTAAAATACAAATAAATAAATTATATATACGAGCGAATGTATAATATATTATGTTGTTGATTACTAAAAGACGGCAATTTTGCAGTTGTTTTGCAGTTGTATTATACATATATTTAAACACGTGCCGGATCGAGATGTACTTATCCAGTGAACGTTTTATGATGGCTTGTTGTAGGTGTCCGTGTTTTAATGCGCGCGTAAAACGATCGTGATGCTTGCGCCGACAGCTTAAGCGCCGTAACGCGAGCGATAGATCGAAGCAAAAAATCTTTACGGCGAGAGAATCGTCTTTTTCTCTCTGCTCGGCTCGGCGCGTGTTTTAGCACACCTATCGTCATAGGCGCCGCGGCGGCCAGTAGAACGCGAAATATAATAAAATAAACAGCCGTTCTTACTTCTCTTTCATTTTCGTCAAGATTTTGATTTAGGAATTTGTATTAGTTGGACAGCCAAATTTAATTTTCGTGAATATTATAGGCGATTCAAAATTCTTCAGCCTTTCTCTTTAATACGTAGAAGCAGATCGTAAAAGAATGATAAAATATATAAGGCTCGACAAATATGACGATGAATTAACAAACTAATTGTAAGAATTAAAAAAAAAACGGAAACCATTTTATCATTGCGATTTTTTAAAATATAATTTTTTGAATGAAAAAAGGCCAAAAATATAGTAAATCGTATTCATTTTTAGAAAATATAAAGAGACATGTTGTGTCATATTTAGAACATCCGTAGCGTCCCGACGCGCGACGCCCATGTCTTATACGCGGCACATTCGTTAGTAAACTTGGGTATCATAGCCGTAGATTCGTTATTTAATTTATGCACAGGACGAGAATGAATGAATCTTTATTAGCTTAGTAGCGCTATTTACAATAATTTACAATAACGAACACAACTAAGCTTCACATATATTAATATACTTACTATTTGTAATAATATATATAATATAATACATTACAATAAAATATTTTAATATATGTTACTCCTACTCTTAATATATTATATTTCGCTAATAAACTTCTGAAATTTTGTATCCTACTCTCACTCTTTAATTTTTTCGGCAAATTATTAAACATTTAAAATCCTTCGCATATTGTAGTAACATTTTCTATTTCTCTTCTGACTTAATCTAGCTGCAACTAAATCTTTTGTCCGTTTAGTTTTCCTTTTATTTACCTACTAACTGCACTAATTGTATTTTATTCATCAAATATTTTGGTCACAGTCCGTTCTTCATTTTATACATCAATACACAGACATTATATTCTTTGCTTTTTGATTGACATAAATTTTAATGCCTCAAGCATATCCCTTAGTCTCGTTCTTTTGTTAGTCTGGGTGCACAACCGTGATTTAAGAGGCTGTAAGCTCTAAAGCTTTAAGAAATTGACCAATCACAGTTGAATATGAGAAAAATAATCTACTGTGATTGGTCAATTTCGTACGGCTTTATGGCTTAGGGCTTTATAAAACAAGGTTGTTGACCTGGACTTACATTTGAGAGAGAGAGAGAGAGAGAGAGAGAAAATTAAAATATCGTTAGTACAGTACACAAGTTGCATGAAAATGCTTCGATGTCTTTCACAATGTGTAGTAAGATATTTTGTTATCTATTTTGCTCTTTTATTATAGGCGGAAAGATCAATGGCAATCAAAGACAAAATATTTAAAAATTATAATAATAAATTGGTAATAAGTGAATCTCTCTCTCTCTCTCTCTCTCCTTCTATCGAAAAGCATCTCGATTAGTACTGGTCAGCTTTCTGATCTCAACTTAATTATTTAATATTTTTTGTATAGCAGTCTCTCTCTATGCAAAGCTCTTTAATTACTAATACGAGTGATTAGTTCCCCTCGCAATTAGTGGTGTTCTGCAATTTCGCGAGAAACTGAAACCAACGAAAATAACATCTCCCGCACACCTCAGACACGTATACCAAAAAATAGAGACTTGTGAGATTTTTGCAGGGACAAACGCTTGATTCAATTTCTGTTTTTCCGTCCTGCTCGTCGTATATTTTTAGCCTCGTTACAGGGTACATTGAACTTTTGCTGACAGGAAAACGTGACGTTTTACTTCTCGTTATGCTTTGTAACGCGTCCCCCACGAGATATGTCATACTATAGGAATATGACAGGTATTTCAGAATTTTTCACGTTTTTTTATCCCATGAGAATTTATAGTCAATTTTTGCAAACAAAACTTTAATAATAAAATTCTTGATTAGAAATTTGTCGTAAGAAAAGAAAATATTTAAAAAATTCAATTTTGAAGTTTAATATCTGTAATGATTGATTATTCTTTCTGTACGTATATTTTTCTGAATTTAAAAGAAGTTGCATCAAAACATATCAAGCTATACTTTTTGCGAAATCAAAGATAAAATGTCGACCGTTTAAACCTAAGAACAAAATTTAGGTAGCTTAACTGTGAATTAAATTTTTGAGATATCAATGAATTATTTTTTATCTGTAAGTAAACTTTAATTCGAGTGATTGAAAGTCTGAAATTTTCCCGAGAGAATCGTCGAATGAAATTAACATGTAGAGATCACGAAGTTACATTAGCTCGAGACTAAGCTTTGTTGATCATTGCAGTTGCAATTGATCGGCTGCAAGTAGTAAATCACGAGGAGGGTCACCCACCACTGGCCGACATTCAATTAGTACATTACGAACGACGTCCTGTCGAAGAGTGCAGGCGTGTTGATTGTCGGAAAGTAGGTAAATGGATTCGCGTGAACCACGTCAATGGCCTTGTAATCGCATTGGCTTGATAAATTTTATAAATGAAAGCCTTGCGCGGTAGATCCGTCCGTGAATTACGTAAGTATACAGGATATCCAACCGTTGAGTTACAGGGATAACGGGTTAATTAGCGGTCTTCTGTGCTCGTTGTAACACGGCGACGACGTAGTTAATGATCGTTCGATCGGAAAGGACTATAATCAATTTGTTGCAGCGATGAAAAACTTTTCCATTTACGAAATCTTAATTTATCACGACCAGTTATTTTTTGTCACCATAACGTTTGCATGGACGACAGCAGAGGAGAAGTGCATCAATAATTTTAGATTATCTCTGGATTTTTTAATTCTGGACATGACTTTTTAACGTCGAATCTAAATTATATTTTTTCGAAGAATGCTTGTACGTATTCTTTATAAACAATATATTTTCTGGTAACAAAAAAAAATGTTCAACGTTTCGCGGAATCGAAAAGATTTTTGATTTTGCTTAAGGAATTAAATAGTGTTTATAATTTCTCTATATCTACAATTCTTGTAGAAATTCCTGATGATATTTTAAAAATTCTTCCAGTTTCGCAAATTTTTAAATATTAATTTTAAAAATACTTTAGAAAACATCCGAATCATGCAAAGATGCAGTTAATAGTATGTGATATAAATGTATTTATAAAATTCATAAAAATGTATTTATGCAATGACGTCAAATGAAATAACGATGTAATAATGCCGAGATGATGAATTACGCGGCTGTCCTCG